TTGGTACTCCTGGTTCTCAGGTCTTTGGACTCAGACTGGGGCTAACACTGTAGGCCCTCTGGTTATTGGACTTTCAGGCTTGAACTAGAACTTCACCACTGGTTTTCCTGGACATCCAGCTTGCATATAGAAGACTGTGGGACTTCTCAGCCTCCATAATCATGTGAGCTAATCCCTCATAATAAATCTCATCTATCTATCTATCTATCTATCTATCTATCTATCTATCTATTCATCTATCCATCTATTTATCTATCTTATTCATTGTGTTTCTCTGGAGAACTCTAACTAATACAGTTGTCAACGAGACCATGGACACAGATGCAGGTGTGGGTAGGTGAAGCAATGTGGTGTTCAGAGTCTGTGGAAGTGCTCTTTTGATGGCTACAAGTTTCTAGTAAAATAGAAAATAAGAGAAAATTTGGAATGGAGAGGTGGTGTTGGGGGTTTGAGGAGAGAAAAGCTATGAAATAGTGACTCAAAAAATTCAGAAAGTTAAGGGACAGGAGACCTATAGAGAAATTGACTGGCAGCATTAAGGGCCCAAATGAGGTTCATAGTCATGGATTTAAACTAAAACTAGTCATGTTGTATATTTCCCTCCAGCTAAGTTTAGCTACATGAATTTGGGCTACTTAAGGTATAATTGGACTTACCCAGAGTTATGATTTTTCCAGGGAGGCAATAAAAAATGACAGAGGGGCAGGATACTAGAGGGTATATGAAAATAAGTGATTATAAAGAAAGAGCATGATATTTGAGTTAGGGAAATAGGGTAGAGAAGACAATAAGAGAATGACGGATGGTAAAATCTGGTAAGATCAATGGATTGGAGATTCAGGTGAGGTTGAAAGAAGGTGGGGTTCAAGTACCAAAGGGAGTGAGCCGAAAAGAGAGGAGGTTATGGTCATAGAGAGGGATGTTTGAAATTGAGATTATGAAGGGGTTGCTATAATCGCAATGACAAGGCCTAGGATATGGCCATGCCAGTGAGTATCTGAGGTGGGGTCAAGGACAATGTCATGGAGGAGAAATATTCAAGGAACTGAAGGAGCCAGTGTGTCAGAATTATCATTCTTGAACTCACTGGGAATTAAGACAAGATTATGACTTTTGAGAGTGACTGTGTTCCAGGAGCTAAAATACTTGAGAAATAATGTGGGGAGTGGCTAAAGTCTGCTAGATGACAACAATGAAGGTTAGTCAGTGACACACACTGTCAAAAGCTGGAAGTTTTCAGGGAGGTGGGAGAGGAATGGTCTAAAGGCAGCAATGAGAAGCAAGGATGACATTTACCCAAACTTCAGGCTCTGTGGTACAATGGTGGTAACAGAGAAATCATCTCCTCTTGAGTGGGCTTCAGGGGACACAGAGTCCTCAGGGAAGAGCCTGGTTTCTGTTAGGGGAAGTCAATGAAGGGCACATTCAGAGAAGAGGTTGAGGATATAGAGGATTATTGAGAGTGCATTGTGTTTTAGGAGTAGGAGAGGGGTTCGAGAAGTGAACTAAAGAGAGGATATGGTCACAGCATTATTGAGGTTAGAATGTGGTACTTGAGGGGTGTTTAGGAATCTTGGGATTCTTGTAGGGACTGGTACAAATGGGGATATATGTCATCATTGGATGAGTTCTGATGGATTCAGGGCAGATAGGGGTTGCAGGATTTTGAAGTTTGGGCTAGGGAGAGGGAGGAAATTGGGGCTTCCTGTCAACCCCTAGTGATGTGGAAATTCAGTCTTACACCCATGGCACTGGTTCACACAATGCTCCATATTGCTCCTGGAAACAAAGATCACATAAATCTGTGGTGATAGAAAAACAGGCTAGAAACTACACTTGACATTCAGGATAGGACTACTACTGGGAAGTGGGAAGGTGAATGGCCTTGGAGCCAGGGTCAAGTATGCCTCAATTTTTATGTAATGTTTTTATTCCTAAAAGAAGAAAAAGTAAATATAACCAAATGTTAATATTTAAATTTGAGTAGTGGAAACAGTGGTGTTTATTATATTTAATTCCTGGGACATTGTAGGTATTCAATGAATAATATTTGTTGAATGAGTCTGCCTTTCTTTTAAAAGTTTCTCCAACAGACAAAATTCTCAAATTAACACAATATGCTACAAGAGCATAGACAAGGTAATGGAGAGAGATGGGGAAGACTTGATAAATCCTTGCAGAGAGAGAGATTGGTGATCTATGCAGAACTCTACCACCATACATGAACCATATGGAAAATATGGGGTGAAACTAAAGACATAGT